GGCCTCGTCAGGAGACATACGAGGCTCCTTTTGCCTTGCCTCGTGGACATATTTCATGTCATGTAACTATGTCCGAAATAAACTGAAACTGAACTGAACTTAATCATGTGTCGCGCCCCGCCGCGGTGGTCTAGTGGCTATAGGGTACTCGCCCGCTGACTCGCAGGTCGCGGGCTTGAATCCCGGCTGCGGCGACTGCATTTCCGATGGAGGCGGAAATGCTGTACGCCCGTGTGCTCAGATTTGGGTGCACGTTAAAAAAAAAACCCGGTTGGTCCAAATTTCCGGAGCCCTCCACTACGGCCTCTCTCATAATCATATGGTGGTTTTGGGACGTTAAACCCCACTTTTCAATCAATGAATCATGTGTTGTGACTGTGGTCGACCATGCCGTACTGCTTTCCGAGCAGACGTGCGGCGCGGTTCTAGCGCGCAAGGGCGCAATGACAACTGTGTTTATAGTCGCAGCCCCAAAACGTAATGGCGCTCTGCAGCTGTTTTCAATGCGTCGCTCGCGTACTTTTTCTTTTTTTTTTCAATCGTGGTAGTACCAGCAAAGGTCACGGTAAAGCATCTGCTCTGCCGAATCTATATGCTTGCAAAATATATAATTGCTTTGGCGTTCCGGTGCGTGTGCTGCATTTGAGACAATACCTAAAAGTGATTTTGTTTTCTTCTTCTCGCTTGCGAAAAGCTTGCGAGTCGAGTCAATCTCGTATAGATTCGTGCAATGTCGCCGAGGTCAGCTGCAGCGTCTGAATGTGTTGTTTCAGTCTGTGTTCCTACGCTGGAAAAGTAATCGAATTGAGTGAAAGCTTCCGGACATCACACATGCAAAAACCTTCCACTTGTTCTTTCGAAGTCTTCCTAAACTTGGAGGTTTTCCCGGAAATATATAAATTTAAATATTTCGGTGCCGCAGTGACGCATTTGGAAAGCTTGCGAAAGTCTCTTGCATGGTTGTTGGGCGTGCATTGTCCAGAGTGTGTGTATGGCTTCCGTTGCACTGCTCTCGGTTTTCTGAGATCGCGAAGATCGATGCGTCTGCCGCCTTCCATGATGGGGATGGGATTCGAGGGCTGGCCCGTTTATGACTAAACTTTGGAATGACTCACTACTTCGATCGCTATGCAGTTCCGTGCTTTAGCTAAATGGTAACGATTTCGCGGGCGCCACCACCACGTGGAGGCGACGACTTTAACCGTCGTCTGCAGAAGTCGCGCTTCGCCCGAAAGTCGTTCGAGCGACTGCGACCAATGAAGCTGCGGGTGTCGAAGCAATCCCTCGTGGCTCCCTTACCTCTTCTTTTGCGGCGGAGTACGTCGTCCCATGGACGCAGCATCAAAAGTCTAGCACGGCCATTCGGGTGAGTGAGTCGCGCGAATGAGTGATTGCCGCGGTGAGTGAGTGGCATAAGTGGGTGAGGGACAGGAGTAGGTGAATGAGTGACTGTGCGAAGTGATCGGAGTGAGTGGGTGAGCGAGTGCGTACGTGCGTTTGCGTTCGACTTTGTGTTCATCCTTAAAGCTAATTCAAAGTTCCGGGATGTACAAATCGTCTCTCCTATATATAGTCCGAGCATAGCACCTGCGAAGTGATTGTAATCGCTGGATTGCGGTTTTGGTGCAGGCAGGATTCGTGCTCCCTGCGTGCTATGCCGTAGCCTCTGCTCAGTGGTGTGATGAGCTATAGTGTAAACACTCCTCGGATGCTTTCGCGTAACGCATAATGTTGTCTTATCGGTCGCGGTTCGTCTACGTGTCCTTGTGCAAACCTTGAGTGCCGTCGGCAGTGTATCCCAAGTCGAATAAAGCTCTGGGCACTACCTATTGTTGTTTGCCATAGAGATTGCGGCAACTGAGAAGACGTTAGATGCCAGAAAACACTGCTTCATTCATACTCTATACAGAGGCCTTGCACTTTGGAGTGCACATTTTTTACGCACGTACGTATCAATAATATATATATATATATATTATATATATATATATATATATATATATATATATATATATATATATTCCGTTTGCGGCGTGCCACAGAGAGAGTGGAAGGGTGGTTAATTAAGCCGGAAATACTCTATGAGCAAGACAAAAAAATTGGTGCGCAGAGTGATCGGTGAAATCCGATATCAGTAGAGAATTTGAAAATGGTGCCTGGCACAGCTCACGGCACCCTCAACTATTTAATGAGGAACCTAATCTCATTTCGCGCCGATGTCTGGTTCCCCCGAACGTGTCACACTTCATGAGGGAACGCACATTTTCGTGTCCGGCCTCGGCGTACCGCGCGTTTCGGTGAAGGTGCAGCAACGCCCATTTGCAGAGGCTCTCGCATGTCTTGTAGAAACAGCTGACGCAATTAAGATATATGTTGTGGTGCTGTTTAATTCTTACGCATCTCGTACGTTCGTCAGCTTTAGTTATTGGGAAAGGAAGTATTTCTGTGCTTGAAATGAGCCCGTCGACAAATTTTCGACAAATAAGTCTTCTTAAAACCGATCACTATGCAGTATCTCGCCTACTTCATGATATTCACATTTGACCAGTGGTTGATTTATATGCTGGGTTTAACGTCCCAAAACCACCGTATGATAATGACGGACGCCGTAGTGCAGCGCTCCGGAAATTTGGACCACCTGCGGTTCTTTTACGAGCACCCAAATTTGAGCACACGGGCCTACAGTGTTTTTTTTTTTCTCCATCGAAAATGCAGCCGCCGCAGTCGGGATTCGATCCCGTGACCGGTGGGTCGGTGGCCGACTACCTTAGCCACTAGACCACCGCGGTGGGGCAATTCACATTTGATGTACTATACTTATTACGCACGTCATTTCGTCGACATCATTTTTTTGTTGTCTTTCTGATAAGGTTAATGTCGTTGTTCAGACTAAAGAACAAAAGTCGTGACGTCTTTCTCACATCAGTTTACGCATGCAGTTTGCGAGCATCAACCAACTACGTAAGCAGCTTGGTACTGGTCCAGGCCTCAGGCGTGCATGGAGCTGGCACTCGTGGCTTTCGTCACAACGTTTAGGGAGGGACCTTTGGCTCTGTTTGCTCATCTTTTACGTCATACAGGCAGAGCACACATTCCCTCGCTGTTCTGCACAGCCGCCATAATGTTTATCAGCGCGCCTCTTTTTGCTGTCGCTGTATAGGTCACCAGCGACGATCTCGCGTAGGCGGGTCACCGGACCAGCCTTGTGTTGCTGCTCTTACTCATTTGTTGCGTCGTTGTTGCCTTTAAAGATCCCCAACTTCGACGGGGACGGTGGCTCGCACTTACCGCCGCCCTTCATCTCTCTAATGCCACGAGCAAACAAATACGGTCAGATCCGTCTATCCAGTATTAGTGGGAAGCGCATTTGCCCGGCGTAATAAGTTTCGCCTGAGGAGAACGCCACGGGCAGGACCCAATTACGCTTGCAACTGCAAGGTTGTGCGGTCGTCTTGCCCCTCCACTCTCTTTTAAGGACGAGAGTCTTTCTTGGGCACCTTCGACGCCAAAATTTTGGTCTGTCTGTATGTCTTTCTGTCTGCACATTAGTCTGTTTGTCTGCGGTAACGGCCAACCCCATCTGCAGCGCCCGCCAATATTACTAAAGTTTCAGCGTTCGTGCTTGTGCGATTGTCAATTAGGAAGCAATTATTGCGGATATCTGAGGCACCATAATAACACGTAGATGTTTTGTATGTCTTGCCGTTATAGTAGGGAAGGCACACAGAAGTAATGCTAAGGACCGTGGCGTTTTTGACGGTGCGCTGACAGTGCAACGCGATGCTTAAAAAGGCAAGCGTTTCCAACGCTTTGCTAAGACAACACGGTGGTGGCACCTGCTCTTCGCTTTGCGTTCTGCACCTTATCGCGTAAGAGACAGGCGCGTATTTTTCTCCGTGGGGGCGCACGCCTTCCTTCGTTTTCGAAGATAACTGCCAGATGGCGCTCGTGTCTAACGTGCCTCGATGCACTCGTTCGCCTTCGCTGCACGGATCGAGACTCTCTAACGCAGTAATTTCAGAATACAATTCACCGATTTTCTCGCGCAGAACATCAAATAATCATTTTGTTCACTCTCTCCACACGCAAGACTACAGTCTTTTTGATCGTGCGACGACGACCATTGTTTTTCTCGCTTGTAAATGCTATCTTTGTTGTCTGCGTTTTTTTGTCCGCTATGCATGTATGTCAATGTGTGAGGCAAATTTGTTGTTCACGGCACGGAAAGAAACCGAGCGCGGGCGGCCGTCTCCCGAGGCAACGACCGTCGCTTTCCCCCTCTCTGTCGGCATCCCCAGTTCCCCCAATTTTTTCCCCTTCCTATGCGACATAAACGTTTGTCGATCGCTCACTGCAACTGAACTGCGCGGTGCCCTGCAGGGATGGCCTACGGAAACAGTCTCCGACGCCGTGTGAAAATTTCCCGCCGGAACGTCTGGTACTTGAATCTCTCGGCGCTCCCTTTATTCCCTATTTCCCCATAGTTTCTCTGTATTCGCGTGCAGTGTGTTAATGCGGATGGGTCTATTAACTGACAGAACTTTAATCAGATTAAAAAAGGCAATTTATAGGGTTTGTTTTTGTTGTTGCTTGATACTAGCCTAATGAAAATGAAAATGCTATAAGGCCAAAAAGGTATAGGATGACGTTTATAGTACTGCTTTAACTTTATTGCAGGTTATGTGATAAAAATGTAAAGAAAGTGTAATGGGCGAAAACTGAACTTGTCGCGTGCCGGAACCGAACCTGCAACTGAAGTGTACTGTCTTAAGTGTATTGTACGTTGTCTTCAGTGTATTGTAGTAATTAGGGAATAGTTATGATATGGATCATGGTTAGGCATCGAACCTGCAACGTTCAGTCGCAGGTACTTAAAGTGATACAAATCACGTCCTGTATTCGTCATTGAATTCCTGATCTGTTAGTTTTCATTTATTTTAAACTTTAGCGTTTCGTTCCCCGCATGATGTTCATTCAATTCTTGCTTCCCCATTTCGCAGCAACGGTGTCAGCCGGCGCTCCTCTCCTTCCGCGGCGCCGTCTCCCGATGGGGCCGCTGCGGTCGTCGTCGGCGATGGAGGCGCCCCTAACGGCGGCGAAAACGGCTGCGGCATCGCGGTCTCCGCCGACGCCGCGATGGCGGCTGCTGCCCCGCGCCGCATCGCTGCCTCCGCAGCCGATTTGCAGCAGCAGCAGCCTCCTCAGCCAACGTCAGCGGCAGCCACACCGACGGAAGAGCCGGCGCCCGTCTGGTGAGTGCGCTTTGCCGTTCGGCTCCCTTTTCGCGCCATGCGGGAAAAGCCTCTTTGTCGCGGGAAAAAAAGGGGGGAGGTCGGGAGACAGCGCTGGTCCCGCCTCCCGGATGAAAGCTGGGAAAGAAAGGGGGGATACGGAAGCCGCGTTTGTTCGAAAGTTTTGGGGAGAATAACGGTGCCTGCGTCCTCGAATGCGGGTGATAGTGTCGGTTTGGGAAGCCACGAAAAACGCGTTGACACACGAGCGCTGCGAACGGTGCCGAATAAAATAGCCCGAGCTCAGAGTCTCCGGGGGCCGAGCGCGGCGCGGGGTCAACATTCGCTGACCTAAAGCGGTGACGTGCGCGAGTGTTGCGTGGACCGCGTCGTCGTCACCCGGCCGGCTTCCCCTGGCTCGCGTGCCCGGCCAGTGTGGCACTACATGCGGCGGCGTATGCAGTTGCCGTGCCAGGCAACCATCGTCTCCCCAATCGAGCGCATCGCGCCTTGCGCCGTGTCGCGGGGTGCTTCGCTGCACCGCGCCTTTGCGCGCGCGTGCTCACAGTTGTCTCCACGCGCTGTTACGTACATGGAATTTGTGCGGAAGCGCGGCAGTTCGCTTTATCACTCGGGCGACGGGAGGGCGGCCACTCTGTATACTCGTGCGAACCTTGGCGAGCCGAGCGAATAACAAGCTTATATAGATATCTCTGTGACGTGCAATAAAAAAGAGCAGCGAGTGTTTGCGCGCGTTCTCGCCTCCCCAATCGAGTGGCGTGCGGCTCGCCACTGCCGTGTGTTTCGTGGCGCTGCCGTTCTTTCATTGAACGGGGCAGGAAGCTTGGTTCGGAGCGTTGATCGTGCAGAGCACGTTAAGGATGGCCCCGTTAACGGGATCGGACGACGGGTCGATCAACGTAGACGGTGTCTCGGCTCGATGCGTTCGGGACTTTATTTGGTCGATGTTCTCACCCGAAGCCGGCGTGCAAACCCACCGGTCACGTCAAAGTGCAAAAGCCGCGCAACGTTGGACTGCACATACCAGGCAGCGTCAGAGCAACTTGTGCGCCATCGTGTCATACAGGAAGCGGAAGTAACCAACCGGGCGCTCGATGTTATACGTGTTTTATCGCGGGTACCACTAATAGCGGTGCATTGCCATCACACTGCAGAAAACGAAACGACCGACCGGTTAAGCGGTCGATACGCTCCCACCTGCGGGGCCTTCCGGATGTCTCAACCCATTCACCGAATGCCCCTATGGAAAGTTCAGTGGGAGAAGGCGTGGCGCGTTTGTGTTCTTGAGGGCCACGTTTCACGTCGTCGCGCTGCCTTCGTATAGCGGTGAGAACGGTCTCTCCCCGCTTTCTGTTCCGGCCCCTTTCCCGGGGTAATGTTAGCCGGCGTCCTTGAGCACTGCCGAGGATCGAATGAGCGAAGCGCGGTAGTGACTTGTCGTCAATGAAGCGCCTACTATTGCCGGGCGCGCGTATCGTTAATAAAGAAGGAGAGAGCTCTTTGATCGGGATGATCTATGCGGCTGACACCGTTGTCCAAAAGTGGGCGTTGGGCGGCGTGGCTGTAGTGATTGTCAAAGCCGTAGGAAAGGGTGGTGGAGAGAGAGAAAGTAAAGAGGTAATGCTGAGCAGCGTCCCAAACGTCCTTATTGAACGCATCGCCATCTTGGCACCGATCCAGATACGACTGGCCGTGAAAACGCAGCGGCGTTTCTACTAGGGCTTCGGGGACTTCAATCAATTCGAGCGGCAATCTGGGTAAAGCATCTCCGGCGAGAATCCACACGTTCGCGGCTTATTCGGAAGCCGGAGATGCGGCGAGTTATTCGAGATGTATTTATTTTATCTCCGTATTTCCGATGTATAAAATATATAAAACTGGCACCGCACTGACTTTCCTATCAGTGCGTGTGTCTACAGTTTTACAATGTACCAGAGAAAAAAAAACGAAGATTGCGAATATGTGCTTGGAGATTTCACCATGGATCGGCAAGGTCACCGCATTGTAATCTTTTCCGTCTTTCTCTTTCTATATGTTTTATAATCTCACAGAGACAGTTTAGTACCTCGTGTTATTGTCTAATACATGATTTATGGCGCAGTAAAGAAACTGATTAAAGTTGCTCAGCAGTGTTTCTAAAAACTTATATAACTCGTACAAGTCAAATTTTACGAATTCTTTATAAAATTTGTTTTAAAGTAACATACTGGCACTCAATGAAGTGAAGGTGTTAAAAATTTGCAAGCACATAAAAAGAGAGAAACGAGAAAAATGAAGGCAGGGAGGTTAACCAAATGCTAGTAACCGGTATGCTACCCTACACTGTGGTTTAAGAATAGTGGGTTTAAAGAGAGAGAGTTGAAAAATAAATAAGAGAAAAACTCGGACAGACGCGCACACACAAAATCAGTCCACTCAAAGGCGTTCGGACAGGCAAGTAGTTCGCAAAAAGCACAGTAGCCTTGCGCTGCCTTCTTCTGTGATGATGAGTCATGACGATGGCGCGGTAACTTTCTTCTGACAGCGGCTGGTCATCTAACTTGTTTAGTGTATTATAAAGGTATTGTCTTTCTAGGTTTTATTCCGGGCAGTCACACAGGACATGTCGAATTGTCTCTTCGTCTCCGCAGTGTGCACAGGCGGCGGTGTCGGCCATACCTATGCGGAACGCGTACGCACGGGTAAACGCGACTCCCAACCATAGATAGGTAAGTTATAGGTTAAAAACCGTGCTTACGAGGGATTGAACGAGGTACCAGTTTTATGCAACATTGAAATACAGGAACACTACGACATGAGTTAGGGCGTAAAAGAGCGTAGCCGACATCAATATTTGACATTGAGAGGAATAATTAAGTTTGACTAAAGTTTACTGTTCGTAAGTGGGTTAGGCGGTAAACTGAACTAGATATATATGCAGGATAGAGGACTGCATCAGTTGTCGTCGAAATACGGAAACTTCTAGCTATAGAATAGTGGCGCCTTGAGCGAAAGAGAGGCTAATAAAAACAAATTTTATTCACAATATTCCTAAAAGCCCGCTTACGACATAGAGGCGGGTACATTCGAAAAAGTGGCAGTATAGAAAAAAAAACGAACAGCTCAATGCCAGAGCTTGAAGTATAACCGCAACCCGCCGTGGTGGTCTAGTGGCTAAGGTACTCGGCTGCTGACCTGCAGGTCGCGGGATTGAATCCCGGCTGCGGCGGCCGCATTTCCGATGGAGGCGGGAATGTTGTAGGCGCGTGTGCTCAGATTTGGGTGCACGTTAAAGAACTCCAGGTGGTCGAAAATTCCGGAGCACTCCCCTATACGGCGTCTCTCATGATCATATGGTGGTTTTGTGACGTTAAGCCCACAAATCAAGATGAGCACATGGTAGCAGTGGGTAGATGCTACATGACAATAAAGCCAAACTGATGCAGAATATGTTAATGCGCTCATAACAAAACAGGCAGTGATGTCAATGCAGTTTTCACGTAGAAATTATAGCGCGCGCTTTTTCTTCGAGGAAAACGATATGGCTATATGCCTCTGCACCGCTCTGTATGTGTGCGAAAATTCGTATGGAGGGCACTTTTTTTTGCCCCGTATATCAACCTCGAAAATGCGATCGTCGCTCGTCCACTCATGACTGTTCTTCGCGTGAGTATATACAGCACAATCGTGATCGAAACTTGCGTATCGCGTCCAGACCGATCACTCGTTCACCTATATAATGTCAGTATAACGTTCGCGGCAACGGGACAACTGCAAATAAATGGGAGAGGTGGCAATTGCCCCGACGCTGTATAGCCGGTTACGAATTCAGTGGCGGTATAGGCCTTATTTTGCGAAGTGAAATGGTTTCGTTAGAATGACTACGGTTCTACAGAATTGTTGCAGTCCAGCCGTGAAAGTAATTGTTCAGATCAGCCTAAAAGAAGCAAAACTATCAAGTATCAAGACAGTGCGACGGAAGGCATCTGTTCAAGTCTGTTGAACGCACTGCGCCGATGTCGTGTGCTTCATAATGCCGGCCTTCATCTGCATAGCCGACATTTGAGCTATTGCAACAGAAGCCTTTTAACGCGTGCACTTCGCGAAGCCATCTGAGCTTGCTGCAGTGCGGCATACATATATTGCTGAGTCGTCGTCCACGTATCCGCGAAAAGGTTTCCAGGAGACGAAAGATAATGGCGTGTATACCCTGCTCGTGCGATTGCTTACGTACGACATTTGCTGCAACAAAAATCTGTGGCCCTCGAAAAATCGGCTTTTGATTGATATGTGGAGTTTAACGTCCCACAACTACCATATGATCATGAGAGACGCCGTAGTGGAGGGCTCCGGAAATTTCGACCACCTGGGGTTCTTTAACGTGCACCCAAATCAGAGCGCACGGGCCTACAACGTTTCCGCTTCCATCAGAAACGCAGCCGCCGCATCTGGGATTCGATCCCGCGACCTGCGGGTCAGCAGCCGAGTACCTTAGCCACTAGACCACCGCGGTGGGGCGAAAATCGGCTTTTGGTACTTCGAGGGAGCGATCGCTAATTTGACAGCTGTTGTCTGCGACATTTTAATGCACGCATATTCTAATATTTCTGCGTATATTTAGCGTATGCTTCTATGCACTTCACCGGGCATATATTAGAGGTTTTCGATAAGGGGACCCGAAGCAGGGCGATGGCGTTACACCTTGCTTGCATAATTAAAATTTTCATGTCACTCTGTTTTGGAGAAAGCAAAAATTTAAGGGCTTGTTTTCATTTGTTGTACGTAACGTTCATTATAATTAACCGACAAGAAAGTCGGATCTCTGAGGCACATATTACGCACAAGAGACGTCGTACGAGGGGTATACGTTTCACGAAATAGCGCGAACGAAATGCTCGTCGTGAAGCTTGCTATGAGATAAATAAGTTGGTAACCGAGCCTCTCGTTGGCCACTCTGTATAAATGCTTCCATTTGTAGCTATTTGACGTCACCTGTATAAATTACTGGTCGCCATCCACAT